AGAGGAATAGTTAATGAACCAGCAGAAGATGCTATGCACTCTAAAATTCATTGCCCATTCCCATGTTACATAGAAAAGTGTGTCACTCACTGTGGCCGCAAGCCATTACAATCCTCAGAGCCCTTTCTGACTCTTCTGTGCCCTTACAAGTCAGAGTTCATACTAGTTAAGATTTACCACTTGGCAAGCAGAGATTAGACATTTAACAAACTCAGGCTTTCATTGTTTCAGTCGTCATGATCACAGGTATTTAAATAGACAACATAAACCAAAACTAATGCAGCTGCATGGCTGTAAGGTCATATATCTTAGACATGCTAAACTAATGGTTCTACTCATAAAGCCTTGTTTGTCACCTGTATATAGAAAGTTGAAGTACAGAAAATCTGAATCACACCTAAAATTAAAGTAGAAAAGCTGTGACTGACCAAAGTTGTAAACCTCTGTTTCAGTTCAGCTACTTCCAGTGGGATCATTCATCCTGAGAGGTCATTAACCTGTTCACTGCTGAGGTAGGACTTACCTGACAAATATTAATTCATATATTTCATTATAAAGTAGACACTACAAGCATGTCAGATGAATACTGACTAAATTTAGTCTCTTCAGTTAAGAGGGAGCTACACTAATAAGTTTAGCCATATCTGTTTGCTCTGTCAGTGTTTGAAATTAGATTATGTTAATGCCTACACTGTTTGAGTGCAACCTACAAATCCAATAATACAATAGCTTTGGCAATCCATATCTGAAGGTTAGAAGTTTCAAATGTGTCAAGTATTCTGTCTTGATAATAAAGAAACAACTGAGCCAAGTACCAAATTATGTGCCATGAAAATGCAAGGTCTCATCTATTTCACCTGAGAATAAATTAATCAAATTGAAGCCAATATCAGCTAGAAATTTTCTGCACTACTCTGTTTAGAGTATTTCACAAACTAGTCATCAGAAAGTGAGCAAAAAGAAAGGTATGTATTTGCTTCATTTTGGGATTACAGTATTTATAGGTCTAATTCTCACGTTATGGTAACATAAATAATTTTAAATATATGTGACATTTTTCTGCTGTAGCAAAACATTTTGCAACATGTTTTGAATTTCTGTGGTAGGGCTCAACCTTTATGTTTTAGACAAGAACACCTGCACACTATTAATCTAAATAATTGTAGTTAATTTCAGCAGCTTCATGTAATCGTTTCCTTTCCCTCTGTGAGTTCCCAGTTCTTATGTCTTCATGACCCTATTACTTAAACCTTCATACACCACAAAAATAAGTAGATAATTTTCTCTTGGGAAATCTCAATAGTTGAAACTAGGTATGTTCTGTCACAGCAGCCCTTTCAAAAAACCAATAAAACTGAAAAGGAGGTTTTTCTCTGTCTTTGGGATATACACCACACATTGATTAATTAAGTAAGACTTGAAGCATAATAAAAATTTATTTGAGTAATAATATTCTCCAGGAATTCCATATCTGGATTGCAACCTTTCACTGAAGGTCAATGCCCTGGAGAGTTCTTCTCACACTATTATCTCTAGCTATTAAAATTAATGTAATTCCACTTTATTTTAAAAAATGTAGTAAAATACAAAGCACATCCCAAACTCAAGTAACACTCACTTAAATCTAGAAGGCAATCTAAAATCAATATTTTCAGACTAAAGTCATAAAGCACTACATATAATTAGTTGTACAGAATATAAATCAAAAGAGTGCTTCCAAAGTAAAATTCTATGCTGAAAGGATAAAAATGTATATCAAATTCTACATGCAGTGACTGCAGCAAAAGTCCCTCTTTTTTACTAAGGCCTTAGCTCATTCTAAAGGAATGGGATTTTGACTCTAGTAGAAGTGAGTTTAAAAAAAAAAAAAAAAAAAATCACACAGGGACCTGAATCCTTCTCCATCACTCACAGGGGAATGATCAGCCCATTTTCTGTTGCAAATATTTCCCTCTATGAGGTCAGGCTGTCTTACAGCACTGATGACAGGATTTGTGGGTGTTGCTCTCTCTTTCTGCAAAATAAGAGTTTCTCATTGCCCTTCAGGCTGCTCACACAGGTATCAGGAGTGCTGGCACAGAGTCTCCATCCCACTCGTGCACTTGTGCTGCCTCTGGCTCTGCTGGGAGTGCTGAATGCCTGAGCAGGTGTCAGCTGCACACCATGGTGCTCCCATCAGCTGCTAGCAGCTCTGGCTCAGAGCAGGGAGCATCATCTGGGCATAACCCAGACCTGCTTCATACACCTGGCCACCATCCTGAGGTCCCTCACTGCTCACAGCAGCTCTGCTCTAAGGGCAGAATTTTCGTAAAGTGTACATGGCTGTACAAACAAGTTATTTTTGTGATCTCTACAATGAATACCTTCATATGATAACTGTGTACCCAGATAACAAGCCTCATTTGATCATCTGCTAATGCATTTACTAAGTGAAAATCTTATCCTAAATTCCTGTTTATGCAATATGGTATTTTTTTAATTAATTCATTTACTTTTTTATCCTTACTCTTTGAGACTTTAAGCTTCACTTAATAAGCTACCCACTGCTATCACAGGAATGAACGTTTCAAGAACCAAAAAAAGTAAATCCTTGTATTGTGATGAATTCAGCCTTGAGATGACAACAAAATATATCCATCAAAGTAATTTAGAAAATACATATATTCCATAAACCATAATCATAAAGTTAGACATATCAAACTGAGTAATCATCAGTAATGGAACAGAAGGCTGTTGTTTACTCCTGAGATCAGAAGGATCAGAAGGTAGGGACCTCCTATTTGTAGGAATTCTGTTTTGAAAAATTGCCTCAGACTCACTGAAGCACTTGTCTTACTTTTTGAAAATGGCTTTTAGACTGCTCTGAAGAATAAAGTCAGAATTTAGTCCAAGCAAATCAGGAAAGCAGTCAAAGTTATTAAATATTGGGCATGAGGAAAGTTACCCTTTGATTTCAGGTTCTTTTCAAATAAGACTCACAAACTGTGATTTGTACTTGTTAACATGAATCACAGGTAAGAATTAAGGTCAAAATACAGTCAAAACTGAAATTGGTTCGCAAACTGTATCAACAGGACCACCTCAAAGCACCCACAATACAGTATACAATTTAATTTGCTGTAAAAGTCAGGCCACATATAAATATCTTATAGACTACATTGTGTATTTTTTTTATGTTAATGAGTATTTATATATATTTAATGACAAGTCTTAATTGTGAAGGCTGTCACAAGCAGGTCTCCTACTGAAGTGCTGAGTCCACAGTAATTCTTACAGATACTTAGGGGTTCCTTGAACTTCAGGTAAGTCCAAATCCTGACTTCACACAGGGCAACCTAAAAGTTAAGTCACATATTTAAGAACACCGTCCAAGCATTTAAACATGGACAGGCTTGGCACCAACAATCACTTTCCTGAGAACCTCGTTCAAGTGCTTTAGCACATCTACTTTATATCCAATCTGAATTTCCCCTGCTGCTTTAAGACATTTTTTATGCACATGGAACATTTGCTAATGGGAATCTGTGGCACAATGGGCCCTTTAATATTTTTCTTTTTAAGTGAAAAACTGCCAAGTAACAAAAATAAGGATCACTCTAAACAATTTAACATTGTCTGGAAGGCAAAAGTCATGCCAACTGAATTTAGAAATAATGAGTATGTTTTTAACTGTGATGATCATTGACATAGCCACTAGGAAAAACTATGCATTCCTTGCCATTTGTAGGAGGACTCATGTGACAGAGTGTAGAAACTCTCAGCATAGACATCCATCCACATGTGCATTAAATCCACAGATTTCCCTTACAGAAAAAGCACACACTTTTAGGGTGTGATGCATCTCATCCTAGAGTAGACACCTAAACTAGGACAAACTAAAGTAGACTTCTCCAAAAGTCCTTATTAACATAGTTTACAGGGTAAATATATCCACATGAGATGAATCCTAATCTTAATAGACTTCAAAACAAATCAGAATATGCCTCTATGAAAAGATGAGCTTTCTTTTTAAGCACAACTTCCAGGTTAGGTACAAAGGTAACAACGTTCTACAATATCACCATCCCTCCTGCCCTGAAGTCTATTACACCTAAAACAGAACAATTAAGAAATGCTGATGAGCTTCCCAGTACCTCTAATTTCAGTTTAAGTATGATGAACTGACCTTTTTCTTCTGAATTCTAAAGGAGGCTAGTAAGCATTTTCTGAAAATATTTGTTTATTCCCAGCATTGTATTCTAGACACATTTCCTCTGCAATGCTGTTATAGCCTTTATTTTACAGGTTTTCTTATGCAGACAGTGAAAATAAGAGGGATTTTCTGAAAAATAACGAGTGGTAATGAAAACAAAAAGTGAGTCTTAGAGTAAAACATACACCTTCAAAATTTCCCTACAGTTGCAGCAATTATTCAAAACGAAGTGTAAATATGAAGAGGCTCTGGAAGACAGCTCTCCCAGCACGTACCAGTGTAGTTAGCACATACTAATTGTCTATAGCTATCGGGAAAACAAACGAAATCAATCAAAAAATATGTATTTTAGTAGGATAAAATTAACATCTGTTTGAAATAGTTTTACATCAAAACTGAAAATGCTGTGTCTTCAGTCTTTTAATACTTATTCTGTGTTCAGTACATGTTCACATAAAGATTTAAAAGAACTTTCTTCAAGATCCATAGTCCAACATATTTTTTCAGAATGGTATTCTTTTCAATGTATTGATATAGGACCAAAAGAAACATAACAGCAGAGGAACTTCAAAAATGCTACACAGGGACATCGGGGGATGGAACTGGCATAACATGGGAAGGAAGCACATTAACAGTGAGAAAGAGCAGGCAGTCTACAGATTCTTCTTTTATGCAGGTTTACACCAACTTTGGAAAAGAGGCCTCTGGCGCATTAGAACCACAGATATAGTAATGCAAGAAGAAGACAAGGAAATGAATCAGGTCAGTGTATCACCGACTAGCTGAGAATAACGAGCAAAGGGGTTACCTTAATAGGGCTTCCATCTGGAGTAAGAACCTCTTCTGAAAGCTCCATCATCTTCAGTGCCATCAGGGCAATGGCTTTGGCATGACTAAGGCTTTTCTTATGGAGCCCTGCTGCAACACAGTACGCGTCACCTATTGTTTCCACCTGCAGCAATCAGACAAACTCAGCGTTACAGGGTGATAACGAGGGGAACCCTGCCATTAGGGTTGCAATCAAATAGTGTTGCTTAAAACATGTGAGCAAAACATTCATAAATAAGCAATTAGACAAAAGAGCATAATTACCTGAGTCTGCAAACAGGTGCAGTCAAAACCTGACACGCAACAGCACAGTTGTTTGTCACCATTATAACCAAAGAAGATTGTCTAGAACAGTGTATGGCATCAGCTGAGATATGACAACATTCTCCCACAGCAGTAACACAGAAAATTGTATTTTCCTAAATGAGAAATTGTTTGCAGCTTTATCTCATACTATCCTGGTTCAGTTTGCTGTTGGGCAAGAATAGCACTGCATAATTATAATTCGTAATTAGTATCTGATATGCTAGAAAATTATATCAGGAAGAGAATTAGAAAAAGCAAAACCACTATAAGAAACAGTGAAGACTGCCTTATTTCTCATTAGTGGGTAGCTCTTCCTGGTATAATTTATGAATAGATGCTATTGCTACAGACCTTTGACTGCACCTTTGTCCCTTATTTTCAAATTAGAATTGGTGTCTCTCTGTACCATGCAGGCTATCTTACTCTGCATTCCCTACCTACAGGCATGAAGTAAAGCAGACTGATCTCTCTGGTCCCTTCAGACAGGCCTTAGTGTTCTTTTATCCTGATTTCCTTTAAAAAGAGCTAGCCCCAGGAGGAAGTGGGAGCAAAATGAATTGCAGAAGCCCTCTGGCTTTGGGAAAAGGCAGCCTGAGAAACACTGCAGCCCTCAAGGTCTGCAGCTTTATTTACAGCATTGTGTTTTGCAGTCTGTTTGCTCACACATCTGTAACATTCTCGCACAAAATCCATTAACACGAGCCCAAACAGACCTCAAGGATTAGATTAGGTTTTGTGACATAACTAATCTGGTTTTCACCCTGCACACAACACTACAGGAATGCCAGAAAATGTTTCACAAAAAACTAGGGTGAGAAGAAAGCAAGCACAAGAAAGGAGTTATTTAGAGAATAAATATAGCTGATTCTTCTCTCTGCAGAGAAGCTACTAAGTAGTAGGCATGGGTCTTCTCAGATTAATTCCCAGTCTTGATAAATTGGAAATAGTATGTCAATACAAATAGTACCAAAAAAGTAAGCATTACATGCAAATGTACCCAGAGGATGAACCTAGAACAGAAGTATGAGCAAATACCTCCAGCACCTAACTTAATCTGCTGCAAGCCCAATGTGAAGTTTGCTACCTTAACCTTTCTGGCTGATTGTGCAGGACGATGGAAATGTGGAGAAGACGCTGAGGGTTTCTAATGAGCTGAGACAGCCACTAGAGCTCCTTCAATACCTTTGAAAGCTCCTAATGGTACTCGTATATAGAACAAAACATGTAGGAGCAATTAATACTGCTGTCTGCCTGTTTGCTGCATCTCAGGATGTCTGTCCACAAGAAGCAGACACTACCAATGCCCTGCAGTTTAGGAGTTTGTTTTTCCAAAGATAAATGGATGGGCAAGAATATTGCGATGGCTGGTGAAAAATGGAGAAACTGGGCAAAAAAATAAACGAGCACAGTGAGAAGAAGTATTAGAAGTTAAAAAGACAGTCTGGAAGAAATAGATGTTTAAAAATGCTCTAAATTGGAAGGAAGCATTAGCAGAAATCCATTGTCATTCTTCAAAATCATGAATAAACATCAGTAGGAATAGACACAAAGAGGTTACTACAGAAAGAGCTGAGTCTGTGATGCCAAATACAAAAATTAAATATAAATTCTGCTCCTTGTTGAATGACCTAATTTCAGAATTACTTTTCCACTAAAGTTGGTTGCATAGATCTGGGATCATATACTGTTCCTGCAGTGTTCAGACAAAACTACTTATTTTTTTAGCTTCTTCCCCCTTGGAAATTTCCATAGCTGTAATTTAACAGCTAAATTCCACACACTGAATGTACTGTACTACCAGAAAAATGGGACAGAAGCTTTATATAAAAATATAAATTATAATAATGCCATTACTCCTTAAAGTGCCTGTCCCTACAGAGTTCATCTGACAGCAATACTGGAGAACCAGGGGAAGGACTATGACTGCTTAGACTGACCTGGTAGTTTAAACTGGATATGATGAGTACTGATAGGCCTGTCTAATGATTTACCATTCTGTAACCCTACTTTCAGTCACTTCTAGGATTATGCCCAGCTAAGCATTTAAGCTGAAATTTTCTATGAGTATCTCCACCAAATTTTAACTTGGTTCCACTCTTCTTCAAAATGAGCTTTGAAAAATCTTCCAAAAGTTCCAGGAGTTCTTGTAATTCAGATTGTGCATGGCATTTTCATTTGGTCCACTTGTATGGATTCATGGAATCATCAATAATGGTTTTGGTTGGGACATTTCAAGATTATCTAGTTTCAACTCCTCTGCCATGGACAGAGACACTTTCCACTATCCCAGGCAGCACAAAGCCCCATCCAGCCTGGGCTTGGAATCACCTGCCTTGACCTGCTGGCCACATTATTTTTGTTGCATCCCAGAGAATGGTTGGCTGTCTGGGCTGCAAGTACACATTGCTAAATCATGTCTAATTTTTCATCTACCAATATTCTCAAGTCCTTCTTCAGAGGGATGGTCTCAATCCATTCACCCACCAGTCTGTATTAATACTGGGGATTGCCCTGACCCAGATGCAGAACCTTCACTTGCCCTCGCTGAACTTCACCAGGGTATATGAGAACATCAAAATAGAGACTGCAACAAGAGTGATACACCACACTTCAGAATTTCAGACTGAGAGAGTCACATGCACACAGTGAAGAAGGGAATTTCTCTTGTCTCAGCTGAGGAGTAGCAATTGGACTGGAAATACAAAGCATTGCTTGCTCCAAAATATCCTCTGGGTAGCTCCTGACACAGTGCACACCAGAGAGCAACCTGCTCCAAAAATATTCAATGGCAATAGGATTAAAAGAAAAGGCAGGCACTACTCAAAATGTCTAAAAATTGCTGCACTCAGATCTATTTGATACTTTTCAAGATGATATACAGCAATGATATACAGCAATGAAACTCCAGAGGAAATCTTTACCATGTGGTAAACTAGATTCTGAGGTTTTGACATTGTAATGTGACTTTTAAGATGCATTAGTAGTAGTGTATTTGATTTTTATATCCTTCCTAGATACATACGCAGGAAAAGAGATTTTGCTTTCAATCTTGTAAGACGGGAATGCCTTATCCTGCTTCTTTAAAAATATATTCTGTTCTGAACATTAAAGCTGGTTTTGCATATGACCAACAGTTTACCTTTAATAAGACTTAGTCTATTTTTTTTCTAATTAAATTAGTTTCTTACTGCTCCTAATAGTTCTAGCTACTCACTGATTGTCTGGCCTATTGTTACCAACTTTTCATCCCTTTTCACTGATTTACACTTACTATAGTGTAAATTACTTCACTGGAGTTTTCATTAATTGTGAATTAATACACAGCACCATAGAAGAGAAGTTGAACTTGGATTTCAAAATTAGACCAATCTCTAGAAACTGCAAACTAACTAATGAAGAATCCAGGAAATACTGCAGCTACTTACACTGCTATACAAAAGCCTCCTCTAAAGCCTTCTGTAACTCACAAATCACTGGAACTGTCCAAATGTACAGTCAGGCCCTCAACAAATCCCATATTAAAGTTAATAATTAGTTTAAGTGGTTGTGTGTACTCTGCAGTTCAGGAAAACTTTCTAGATAGTTACCCTTGCCCTGCTGAATACTGAAGAGTGATAATGCAGGACACTTGCATCAGGAAGCAAATATCTTCTGCTTTCAAGAAATTATTTTCTATATACCCAGATTCTGCCAGACCTCAGTAGATACTGTACGTCTGCTTTAGCTATGAACAGTAATTTTTACAGAAGATGAAACCTAGAGTAATTGTCTTATAGTCATTTTTTCTTAATTCATAACCATTTGAGATGGAATACGATTGGCAGATCAATTTTGTAGCACAGAAGTCAGAATGTAATTTCTCCAATTCTAAAGTGTCCAGAGAACAGAGATTAATAACCTGATCCCTGGGCAGCTCCAGCAGGTCTCTTCCAACTGCCTGTAGCTCAACCTTGTGTTGTCTTTCATTATTAAACTGAGAAATTTTAAGTTTTAGCCAAATGATGTTCCATGGATCTAAAGTCAGGGTGATGTTTCAGCGACAGTTTTTAAGGGAGAATGTGGTGCATTGAACTAATATCCCTACTTTGTATCCTTCATCCCAAATTCATGAATATGCTCCAGTCACTAAGTTTCTGAACTTCTAGAAGTAACAAAGGAACTGAAGTGTCACACAGAATGACGTCTATGGGGCAGAGATACTACTTTGTAAGTGAAACCTGAAATGACAGGCTATGGATTTTTCATCTAAAATACTTAAGAATTCGAAAAGTCTAATGAGTACTACTTAGAACCTTTTTCAGAGCACAGCTTGGAAATAAACATAAAAAATATAATTGCATGAGTCACTGTGGCAATTCTAATCTGAAATTCCTACTGCAATCAGAAATATTAAATACATTGAAAGAAGAAGCTGGAGGGAGAATTGGCTCTAGTTTTAGTCCTGTCCCTCTCAGCAGGTTTCCTGTGAAAGCCTAATATACAATTTGTATTAGAACTATGACAATGGAGCACTCAATACTATTTTTTTCATGTAAGAGACATAAATAAGCCTGAGTGCAGTTTGTGTGTTTTAATGGGTTAAATTATATCAATATGGCTTCTTTGTTTACAATCAAAATGAAATACATACAAAAACTGGTCTGAAAATTCAAAAGTTGCTGTCTTTTTTCAGGAAGAAAATCTACCTTTAAATGCATGTCTTTTGTAGATCCTTCACCTTCCTCTGAAGGGTACTTGTGTACTATTGTTTTCATCTCCAAAGCACTCACAGGGCTGCATACTTATTTATTATCTCACTTGTAATATTTAGTATCCATT